AAAATTGTTTCTTGGTGTTTACGTTTTAAAAATAATTGCTTGAGTCGAGTAAAAAATACCCCCATTAGAAGTGGTCCTTTAACGATTGACGAATTAAATTATGCATCAACTTCATTAGTATTCGTAGCTCAGAACGAACACTGGGCTGATGAAATAAAAAAATTGCAAAACAATAAATTTGTTTCTCTAAAGAGTAAATTAAAATATTTCAATCCATTTTTGGACGGTCGTGGTGTAATCAGAATTGGTGGTCGTTTAAAACATGCAAAACATTTAACCGAATTTCAACGTCATCCCCTATTAGTTCCAGGCAACAGTCATTTAGCTTTATTACTATGTCGTTATGAACACTTTAAATTACTTCATGCTGGTCCGCAAGCCATTTTGTCATCATTACGTGATAAATATTGGATTATTGATGGTCGTAACTTAGCGAGAAAGGTTGTTCATCGTTGTATAATTTGTTTCCGTTATAAGCCAATTGTGCAGCAGCCAATAATGGGAAACTTGCCCACAGAAAGAGTAAATCCAACTCGTGCATTTTCTACATGTGGAATAGATTATGGTGGTCCAATAATGGTTAAATCTAACAGTAATCGCAAAGCCCCTTTGACTAAAGGTTACATTTGTCTATTTGTATGCTTCGCCACGAAGGCAGTACACATAGAACTAGCTAGCGATTTGACCACTGAATGTTTTCTAGGCGCTTTAAAACGCTTCATTAGTCGCAGAGGACTTTGTTTTCAAATATTTTCGGACATTGCAACTAATTTTGTTGGCGCAAATAGAAAACTTCAGGAATTAAGAAAACTGTTTGAATCAGAACAATTCGAAAGGGATATTCGGCCTGCTGTAACTGAATTAGGTATTCGTTGGCATTTCATACCCCCCCGATCGTCGCATTTTGGTGGCCTATGGGAAGCGGGTATAAAATCTGTAAAATATCATATCAAACGTGTAGTTGGTGATGCAGCTTTAACGTACGAAGAGCTTAATACGCTATTAGTTCGTGTGGAAGCCTGTTTGAACTCGCGCCCAATAACAAAAATTTCAAGTGATCCTAATGATGTGTCTATGTTGACTCCCGGTCATTTTTTTATTGGTTCTTCATTACATGCTTTACCTGAACCTGATTTAACAGCCACACCTATGAATAGGCTTAGTAGGTGGAGAAGAGTTAGTTATTTACTTCAAAAAATTTGGTCTTCTTGGTCGAAAGATTATTTGATGCAACTTCAATCAAGAAATAAATGGGAGAAAACTAGGGGCAATGAACTTAAAGAGAACTCAATTGTTGTAGTACGAGAAGATAATTTGCCGCCCCAACAATGGAAGCTGGCTCGAGTTAGTGAAGTACACCCGGCGATGATGGCGTAATTCGCGTTGTTACTGTCGTAAATTCTAGTGGTAGCTATAAACGAGCGGTTCGTAATTTATGTATTTTGCTTTGTAATTAAGTTATTTGAGTTTTAATCATTTGTAACTTCAATTTGAATTACTTTATATATATATATATTTTTTTATTATTGTTTAACATGGAATATACATTGTGTTTAATTTATATTATTGTAGCCGTATATTCTCTATAAATTATTTATGTTTTAAGTTACAATTTAAATTTATTTGTATTATTATTATTATTTTTTTTTATTTAATTATGTTGAAATGTAATATTTCAAGGCGGGCGGTATGTTCGATTTATATATTGTATTGTTGATCAGGCGCTGTAAAACGTATTGTTATATTTGGTTTTCAGTCAGTTGTCATTTTTCTATCGTTCGATCGTCACCGCAGTGTGGTAAAAATTGTAAATAATCATTATATTTTAATAAAAGGCACCTTTTTATAAGGTATAAACAATTATCGTCGTTCGTCCAAATTTTTTATATTTTTTTTATACAGTCCACATCGAAATCAAAACAATAGGTATAATACAAAACACATAACTATAATAAGAATTCATTGATTGAGGTTGAACCGTTTTTGTTGTTCTATGCATTAAGAAAACCCAAACTTTAATTAGTTAACTAGAATAGTTTTCAATAAAATTTCGGTGCTGATAGAACCTATTAGCATCGAAAATGTAAAATGACCACCCTATTTTAGAAATGTTAAATAATAATTCAATATTAGGCTACCGTAAAGAATAACATTTTCAAAAATCTTCTATATTTTAAAATTGCTATAACATTTTAGAAAAACTGATTTTAATAGAGTATAGTGGGGACAATAAATTTTCTTTTGGTATACTTGATTAAAATTTAATCCAAAATTTAGTACAGGAAGAATTTAAAAGAGACCACCTGTGCATATAAAAATATTTTAACTTCGATGCGAAGTTGAGAAGGTATTAATTCTACTAGTGTTTTTTTTATACCTCTATACTTTTCTAAGCTCTCATCGTACCGATTTCTTTCAACGATACGTCAAAAGTTCACAAATCGTATCTAATTGAAGAGATTACACTTAAAAATTGGTACAGCTACCACTGGTTTAATTTGGTACGTAAATATTGCAGATTGTAATAGTTGCTAATATTTCTAAGTCTGAAATTATTGGTAAGGATATTAATTATATACTTATATCATATGGATTGATTAATCAAAATGGCTATACTACCACTGACTCATTTGGAGTTTGCAGAATTAATGTTAAAGATTGTACACAGTAAGACGAGTTTTAGATTTTCGTCATTTCTTTTATTACTTCCTTGTAGGCATATAGCAATTGGCTGACACTGGTTAAATAGTAGTTTGATGTCATCAAGTTTGTATTTGAGACCATTATTAATTCTACTTAATTATATTATTATATGTATTAGTCATCGGTTATAAAATTATATTTACAATAGGCTTAATTTAATATTGTTTATCATTATTAATTTTTAAAGTGTTTTAAATTGTATGGGTATTTTTTTTTAAATTGATTTGGTTATAGTATCAACGTATTTATCTAGAAGAAAGTTACAAAATCTATTATTCCATTATTACTGGGTATTTTGTTTAGCTTGAATCGTACTTTTTCGATAGTTTGAATCATTAATTTTTAAAAATATTCTAAAAGTTCTACTGAAAAATCATCCTTGCAATCTTTGAACTTGGAGAATTCAATGATACTTTTGAATTTATTAAAGTTGATAATAATTTTCTATTACTTCGTCAGCATTCTCAACGAGTATATCGTGATTTTCAATAAATAATTCACGGAGTTTAGTCTAGTTTTAAAAAGAGAGTTCCGCGCGATATAACCAAAGAACTATAATTCAATATGAAGTGGACAAAATGGACCTATAGGTCTGAGTACATGAGTAATTTATACTCAACTTTGTAAAAACTAAAACTAGAGATTTTTTTATGAATGCCATACATGCATTTTTTTTTTTTGTAAAGTTACATAAATATATTTTATTTGAAAAAAAAAAAATTATGAATGTGAATGCATTCATTTTTAGATAAATGTGTGGATATTGTAAAATCATATAACTCAAAATACTCATAATATCATTTCTATGACAAATGATATCATAATAGCACAATTTCAGTATTTTCTAAAACATAAGCTTTATTATCAAAATCTGTTATATAAAACTAAAAAAAATATATATATTTTTAGTATAATAAATATAGTTGTATTCATATTCAATATTAATATGTTGCTGTATTACAAATATTTTTTACACATTCCTTATTTTTTAGGAGATTGTGGTGAATGTGGAATTGTACTCATCATATGAGATTGGTTTTTAATTCTAATAAATTTTTGTTTTATATTTTCAATAGATCTTCGAGAAATTGAAACACTTTTTACTTCATCTTCTCTAAATTGACTAATGTTATGAAGATGAGATGATTCTTTTTTATTTAGTTCACAATTAATAACATGGTTTTGTAACTTAAAAGCTTCACACTTTGTTTGATTCTAAAAAAATTATAACATATTTAAAATTTTAAGTTATAAAAATATTGTATTATTATAAAAATTGAGACCATCAAGTATCTAAGTAAAAAATATTAAAGTACTTAAAAATTTAACTTGAGTTAATTAAATTTTTTTATACTTTTGTTTAGGTCAAAGCAAACACCAGAGTACCATGTTATGATATAGATACTTGCTTAATGCAACAGAATTTTAAAAGGCTAGTAAAAGTAAAAAAATTAAACTATGATTTATCCTGAGTAACTAACATTTAAGTAGCCAGGTAGATTATTTATGTAATTTTAGACAATACTTTGATAATTTTTAATTATTTATATTTAAATTAATTAAAAGAAGAGTTTAAAAATAAATAGACCAATTATGTTTTATACATCACTGTTTAAGTTCATTTTTAATGTTAATCAGATTTGAACAAATAGAGAACTCCAAATCATCAATTATTTTATTTGAAATAAATTGAATTAAATTTAATATAATTTCAGTATACAAACAATCAGTATAGTGTTGGTTTGTATAGTGGGAACCTGGAAGGGGGGGAATAGTGTAGATTTAAATCTGATAATAATTAATAGTAAAACGTTTTGATACAATTGTAGTTGAAGATTCATTATTTTCAACCACCTTAAATTTTGGAGCGAACTGAAACAATAGTTCATTACTGTTTAAAGGTAGCTATAACAAAAAAATTTTGTAGGGAAGACCTACATGGTATCTATTTAGTATAGTTATTTGCAACCTTATAAAAAGTTTTTTTTTTTTGTATTAAGAATAAGTATTCGAAAAATTAGTTGGAAAGATATTCTGAATATGATCTTAAATGGTAATAAAAATATATTTTGATAATAATTTAATAAATCTGAGTGTCACAACAATTCTGCACTGGACAATTCAGTGCTAGATAAATTATATTGCGAGACTAGGTTATTTACAAAATAAATAATAAAAAAAAAAACTAAAATGTAATATAAATGTAATTTATGTCCAAAAATAATAGAATTTTAAAAATATACTACAGGTGATTTTTTATCACAACCACACCTCAATTACTTATAGAATAAAAATAATTTAAATATATATATATATTTGATTACCTTTAGTGTAACATCTTTACACAATGGATGTGACAGAATCACCACTGTGCAAGAAGTGTGGAACAGAAAAGGAAGATTCACTTCACATGTGTAAATGTGACACCATGTTCACATTAAGATCTAAACGTTTGGACAAAAATGTTTTCCCCAAAAAGTAGTTATCAAAAACTTCAAACACAAAATATTTAATTTTTCTACAGAGACAGGAATATTTGAGTATACATAGGTACAACTAAGTAGAATAACCTATATACAGAATGATTTTTTTTTATAAATAATCTAATTACTAACAATAAAAATAACTTTGAAAACATTTTTTTTGGTAACTTTTAGTTATATATTACTTTTTAATTATTCACTATGTTAAACTTTTTAAGTTCATCCCTCTTATTTTTTTTTTTTTTTTAAGGCCTTTGAGACCATTTTGCCGTAGAACAAATCCTCCCCATTCCTCTCTATTTTCCGTTGCCTCCTTCCAATCCATGTCACCATACACCACTCCTTTAGTATTTAGGAAATCCTTTTTGACTCCATTTTCCCATCGTAGTCTTGGTCTCCACAGTGGTCTTTTGCTTCTTGGAACACTCTTTGAACCATTAAATCTTGCTTTCTACATACGTGGCCTGTTTACTCAAACCTACTCCGTTTGATCTCATTTACAATATTTGGTTTATTGAATATCTCCATCAGTTCTTGGTTATGCCTTCTCCTCCATCCTTGAATATCTTGACCATATATAATTCTGTATATTTTGTGCAGTACCTTCCTCTCAAAGATATGTAATCTATCCTCCTTCATCCATCGCAACATCCAACATTACATCATGACTCCATACATGATTATTGGTCATATGATTGTAAGATATAATTGGCTTTTAGCCTCTTTTGAAAGAATTTTAGAGTTCAATAGTTTGTTTTGTGCATAAAAGCATTTATTTCCCATTTTGATTCTATGTTGAATTTCTATTTGACATTCATTTTTCTGTGTTACAAGAGTATCCAGGTATTTGAATTCTTCCACTTTTTTAAACTCATACTGACCCACTGTTATGGTTTCTTTTGCAGAAACATTATCTAGTAGTTCCCTACTAACTTTCATGTACTGCGTTTTCTCCGTGTTGAAATTTAGCCCCACCTTTTTTGCAGATTCTATTAACCTTTCACATAAACCTACCACTTCCTGTTTCTCTTGCCCTTGCATGACTATATTGTCTGCATAGGCAAGCAGACTTAAGCAAGTTTTATTCATTATTACTCCTACATCTCTTCCAATATTCATTTCTTGGGTCACTTTTCTAGTACTAAATTAAAAAGAATTGGTGACAAGGCATCACCCTGTCTAAGTCCAGTTCTTACCTCCACCATCCTTGATGTTGTGTTTCTTACTTTGACTTTTACTTTAGTCTGTCTTATACTAGCTTTAATTAAATTTAATATTTTCCTTGGGAAATGGAAATGTTTCAAAATTTTGGTTTTGCAAGTTTAATCTATACTGTCTTGCGTCTTTTGAAAATCTACAAAGATTATATGGAGTTCCTTATTATATTCCCAGCTTTTCTGGAATAGCTGTCTAATTATAAAAATTTGGTCCGTTGTTGACGTGTTTTGCCTGAATCCACATAGATAGCCCCCCAACCACATCTTCAGCCAGAGGTTTCTTGACTTATTGTTCTTGAGTCTTATGATTTGTTGTTTGATTTCCTCCTTTGATGGGGCTAGGCATGGATCATTGTTGGGTTTGTTGTATCCCTTATATATTATATCTTATAAGGATGTCAACTTTGCTTTTTAATGCGAACACAAAATTTGAATTTAATAAAATGTTGGACATTTTATTATAATAATTAATAATAATTGAATTTTTAACATTTTTAACTTTATTTGTTTATTAGGTTAAATCACCTACCTGTTAGCTACCTGTATTTGTAATCCCACATATATTTGTTTGTATGTACATATATATTTATATATGTAACAAAAGATAACCAAAAAAAAATGTTAAAATTATTTTTATTCTGTAAGTAATTGAACGGATTATGGTAAAAAAAAATCAACTATATAATATATTGTATACATATCATGCATAAATAAATAAAATTTAATGATTACGTAATACAAATGACATATTGGCATTCTTAAAATAAATATACCCAAATACTGATAAATGATGAAATGTTCTCTATATAAGAAATAATAAAGAACAATTTTTTTTACATTCTAGATTTATTAACTATATATATTTGGTAGGTTTATAGCTAACATTATTCAATTTCAAAAAATGTAAAAACCAAGTATTCAGAATACAATATAATAGAATAAATATATTTTTTTATGAATTTAGAGCACAGTAAAAATACAAAAAAATATTCAAATATTTTACAAAACTGTTAATGGGATGGATACTAATACTGAAAACCTTCTCTAAAAATATTTATATTTGAAAAACCTAAAATTTAACTACATTTCATTGCATAGTGAGGCTATCTTAAAAGAGAGAGGTAGGTTAATACCCTATAGATATGTTGTTACTGTTTAAGAATTGTAAAATATAAACAATAACCATTGATAAAATATGAGTTACAAAAATAGCATGTTTTATATAATTTTTTTTTAAACTAATAATAAATTATATGAACCTAAATGTTAAAAGTTAAAAGGGTGCAAAAGTTACCACATTTTAGTAACGTCTTTAATTAGACATAATTATGATTATACATATTTTTAGTGACATATAGGGATAAGGTTCTAGGAATTCACCCCTTCCCTCAAAGCTAGTTCAGTTAAATAGTAGGAGGCAAAATCCCCAAGGGTTTAATCTATTGATACCAAACTATAATCCTGTATATGCAATATTGTATATTTTGCAATAAAACAATACCACACAAAAAAATTATGGTGTCAATTTAAATTATAAATTGATAAAAATGTTATATTTTTTAAAGTAAGTTATAAAACATATTGTTGCCCTCATTCCAAAAAAAAAAAAAAAAAACCAAATGTAAATATGACTATGTTAGATAGTAATCAAAACCATCTTATAATACTAAATTTCAATTTAAACTAAAAACAATTCTTACTTTTTGTAGATCATTTGCAGAAAATTGACTTAATGAACTTTGATCAACAATTGTCACCGAATGTTCTACGATACATTTTGAAGTTTTCTATAAATTATAGAGTAACAAAAATGACCTATAAATATTAAAACTATAAGATTTAAAGAATTAATGTAATAACTAACTTGATTATTCTGAATCAACATAATTGAGTTATATAGATTTTTAATTTCATTAATACATAAACTTTTTTGAACATATGGTTTACTTCCATGAAGTAGAATTGATCTTCTTGATCTTCTGGAATCATTACTTGCAAGTATATTTGATTTAGCAACTTTATTTGGTCTCAAAATAACAGTAGGTAATTTTTTATAGGCTTTTAGCAATTTAGGATTAATTTCTCCAAGATATTTATCTATATAAAAAAAAAATTTAACTTGCAATGTAAATAAATTATAATGATAGCATAAAATATTTTTTAGATAGATAAGGAACCATAATGTATAACACTATACTTTCATTTTTTTCAAGGTAGAGTAAATCCTTTTAATAAAAATTATTTATATATTAAATATTTGTCATTAATTGTAGCACATATAGTCTGATGTATTCAAATTTAGAGAAAGTTCGTAGGAGATAATTACAACTGGTGATGGTCATGTCTTTAAGGTTAGATTAAATTACCAGATTAGTAATTGAATAATTTAAACTATACATATAACACCTACTGAAACATAAGTGATTGGTCATTTCAATTTCAGTAGCTCTGGGTTACAAATGAGTAGAAATATGAATCAGTATTCTCTTCTTTGCTAATATACTAAACTAATTTGAAATAAACGAAAATATGTATATTGTCCAGAATTTAGATAGTAAAACATGTAAATGTTATAAGAGAAGACTTTAAATAAAATAAGATAGTTTTTAATCTGTAGCTTGTGAGAAATTTGGATGGCAACACCAATTACTAGTTCATTTTTTACTTAGCAAACAAAGCAACCCTTTACCAAAAATCAAACCTTTAATAGTATGCATCAACAGTGTTAACCACTCGATTAGAATATCTCTTTAAATAAAGTAGTTAGTTTTTATGATAATATTTACCACAAAAAATTTCCTCTTCTAAGTTTTTGTTATTAAGTTTTAGATTGTTAATCCCATCATTAATATGTTCTGCTATTGTTTTATACTGTTTTAGCTGATTAGACATTTTTTCAGCTATTTTCTCTGTTTCTAACACAATATTATAAATATCTTCTTGCTTTTCATCTAAATGGTTACACCATCTATTAAAATCATCTAAACTGTTTTTAATAATTTTTAGTAATTTTACTAGATGTGTTTTCCCATTATTTCCACTGGTAATTTCTTTATTTAACTAAAAATAAATATATATTTTCATTAAGATAGCTATCATTAAATTAAAAAAATTATGAACTTATTTAAAAAACAATATTTGATAACATTTAAAAAAACAAAGTTGACATCCTTACAAGGCATAAGGGATGAATTTAAAAAGTATTACATAGTTAATAATTCAAGAATGTTTAACTAAAGATAATCAAAAGAAAAATATTTAAATTATATTTAGTCTGTAAGTAATTGAGTAGGTTATGATAAAAAAATCATTCTGTATATTAAGTCCTATAAATAATTTTAGTATATTATATATTAGATGAACTTACACTCAAAATAAAGTTAAAATCTTCTGCATCCCAAATTTCTGAATTTTTCAAAATAACTTTTGCCAAAGTAATGCAATTTTCTATAACTAATCGATTTTTATTAAATTTAGTTCTCAAATAAATATTTTGTTTTCTCAGTTCAATAACTTCATTTTCTAACATTAGAAAAATGTAAAAATATGATTAATATAAATAAAAAAAACTTAGGAATTTGGATACTTGTTATTACCAATATTATCTGATAACATAATAGTTTGAAGTTCAGATTTATTATCTTTTATTTGTTGTTTACTTTCCTGAATGATTTCCTTCAATTTTCTAATGAGTTTAAAATTTAAATAGACATTACATAAATTCTACTTTATTTTAACTTACAAAGCTTTTTTAGTAAAATTTATATGTAAAGTTTCAGTGAGATTCATTTTTTCATTTGCTTCAGTAAAATCATTATGAATTAGCTTACGAAAAAACTGTATTTTGTTTTCTATATATGGATCTTCATTATATAAAGGTTCATTTATGACTGGTAAACCTTAAAATAGTACATAATAGAAAATTAAAAAAAAAAACTGATTAATGAAAAATTAGACAAAGAATGATCTATTTATCAAAAATCATTTGGTCATATGTAAAACAAAAATAATGTTGAACATTTATTTTTGTTAGTAGTGATCATCAAGAATTTCAATCATCTATGACAGTGGTCGGCAACCTTTTTTAATTCTCGGGCCACATTTACAAATTAAAAAGAGTTCGCGGGCCAGATAAAAAAAAAAAATTTATAATTACATTATTTATTATGCAAAAAAATACTATCTAAAACTTAAAATAATAATATGACTTATATAAAATACCCGTACCAAAAACGCAACGTTCAATTATATTTATACAAAATGATATTCAATTAAATTAGTCGATTTAGAATTTAAAGCGGGCCGTATTCAATAGCCACGCGGGCCGCCGGTTGCCGACCACTGATCTATGATAAACTTTTATCATAGAAAGTTTATATATACATTACAATGTTAAGAGAAAATTTCAAGCGTAAATATTTAGTTCTGTTATGGACAGAATATTATCAACATTAACACTTCATGACTACACTAGTGCCTTATCTGCATTAACAACCCTATAACCTAACTATGAGTATGCAGTGAACGGGTGTAAATAAAACGTTATATGCTTATTTTAATTAATTTAAAATACTTTGAAGTCACTTGATATTTTACCCCTATCAAAGAAATTCATTCTTATTCGTTAACTTAATTACTAGGTATAATTACACATTATATTTATATAGGAATAAAAACTTATTATTGCTGTTAATTAAAAGTTTATATTTTATTGGTCACAAAACTGTTAACAGCCCTTCAAGTAGGATATAAATTACATAGAACCTTAGTAGCCTTAATTAGAAACAATATAGAAACTATTAGAACCCTAGATGAAAGTATGTTACAGTTCCATCAGAAGAAAATAAAATTTAAAAAGCCTTATGAATTGATTTTTAGAAATTCAACTTTAATATTTAACGTCAGACTTAGTAACTAGTTACGATAAATATTATTATCACTAAGGTATATACAAATTGTTGGAGTTTCATAACTTGAAAATTTATAAGTCAAGAATCTCTTTTCAATTATTTTTATATGTAAACAAAATTCTAACAAAAAAAAAAAGTAGCAAAATGGGGTCATGACACAGTGTGGATGTGTCATAGTTGGGAAAAGCATAGATGATATCTGACAGTGACTAAAATTATTATCATAAAAAACGCTTTGCTGCAAATCTGTAGATAGTGTTTAATTTTAATAAATTTGTAGATTATTCCAAAAGCAAAATGAATTCTTATTTTTTGTTCAACTTCAACTGGCATTTGCACAGGTTGTCAGGACAAATTTTTTTTTTAACTTATAGTATGTAATATAGGCTTTAATTTAACATATATTTAAAAGACACAGTATTTCCGGAACAGTTTTAAAAATTGTAATTTTTGGGGGATTTCTAACATTTACAGTGAAAGAGGAAAAATAATTTGGTAAAATATATTTTGAATCAAAATACCTTTTTTTTTTTTATAAATGATTTAGGTATTTCCCTTTCATTTGATATTAAGTTTTTGAAAATCTAACTTTTTACCTACTCCTAGGGAAGATTCAAATTACAACTTTTTCAACTTAACTTTTGATAATGTTCGGGATATACTGAGATATTTAAACATATATTAGATTAAAGCTTATGTTATTTACTACAAGTCAAAAATTTGTCATAATTATTTATCTTCAATGTGTAAATGACTGTAATAGTTAAAATAATGTTACTTATGTGTTAAAAATCACCATTCTTCTATTTCAATTAATATGTCTATACTTTAGATCAAACAGTATAATGCAGGGGTGGCCAAATTGCGTCTTGCGAGATGCATGCGTCTCGCGGTATTATTTACAAAAACCAAAATTTTATTATTTTTTGAATACATTTATAAAAAAATGTTTTTATTATATAATACTCTATAAATTTATTATCTCTTTCTTCTAAAGGTCTTGCTTTGTCGTTTTACCAATGGTATATCCTGAGAGATAAATGTAATGGTTTCCCGTTGCATTCTGCACTGGGAACATGGTGCTTTTTAGCCACCGTAGAAGCGCACGCATAGTCACCCATCCGTTCACCTACGGCGATAGGTCGCTTAACACTAGAGTTTTGTCAACAACTAGTGTGACCACCGCGCCATTTTTGTGGTATAAAAGTACTGATTAGATAATTTGTCTCTTGATATATAAGCATTAATATATGTTGCTTGCGTACATAGTCATGTTGGCCACCCTTGGAATAATACTATTAGTGGGAGGGTAATAACTACCCCATTTATAAGAAAAATTGTATAAAAATAATTTTTGATAATTTAAATATATTCATGGAACAATTTATGCAACTCTAAATGTCAATTTATTATGTATATTAAATTTAGTAATAGCAATTTACTTAAAATTTCTTTAATAGATAAATTATTTGACAATTCCATTCAATATAAATCTTAGATAAATTTGTAAAATTATGAATGTAATAATAAATCTAGGTGTGCTTATATTTAGATTGTATTATAAAGGCAACTTTTAATCTAAGCATTGATAATTACAGTAGTTTTCTACACAATATTATAAGTAATTACTTTTATTTATATTTTTTAATCACATAATTATAATTACTTTTAACTAAACAATTTATATTATAAGGTCAGAGAAAGTAAATTACTTTACATTAAGTTATTAGGTATATTTATTTTATTTTTACCTTTTTTGACCAAATCACAACGTAAAACATATATACAAAATTGATACATAAAAAATACAAAAGTTGAACCTCCAGGATTGGCTAATAGAGAAGAATTTACTTTTCCACTGACTATTAAAGATTTTCTATAAGTAAACTCATCTAAACCCTACAAAAAAATGAAAAATGAATTTTAATGTTAGGATTGTCAAAGTAATTTGACAAAGTTATTTAATTTATTAATATTATTAAATTAAAAAATTAATTTTATAAATAGCTTTCCAATACATTTTATTTTATCCTCATAAAAATATCATAATAACTTTCATCATAAAAACCCAGCACAGTGGGGACGTGGCAAACTTGGATCCAGTATAAATGATATCTGACAATGATTACAATCACTATCACGCTTCGATGCAAATCTGTAGATAGTGTTTAATTTTTAAGAAATTGGTAGATTATTTCAAAAGCAACAACTCTTATTTATTCCCTTAATTTTATCCCGATAAGTTATTTGATTTATAATTAAAATATATGAATAAATAATAATTATAGTAATTAAATTTAGTATGAAATTGATTTTCAATAATTTAATATTGTAATTTTTACGGAGATATTATTTAAATAATAAAATAGTTGTATATTTCTATGTTTTAAACACGTATAAAAATTTAAAGGGCTTGATGCAATACTTTTCAATAAAAACTTTTTGTTACTTATAACAAAGTTATAAATTTTAGACTGGACTACAAGGAACTTTCATCAGAAACAAAAATATACTTTTCTAAATAAACTTTTCGCAATGTTTTCAAATGTGCAATTAGACTTTTTCTATCACTTCTATGTTTTATTATTATTACTTATTATTAAAAGATAAGTATTTACACATAAAAAATAATTAAGATTAATTATTAATTAATGGATTATTTCAAATGATATGTGATATCCTATTTCCTTATTTATATTCTGATTCCAAGTTTTAAGATTTATAAGTGTAATATATTTATAATATATAAAGAGAAAGGGTCCGATTAAAAAAAAAGTATGTTGCATAAAAGAAGAATACAAATAGTACTTATCAAAAAAAAATTGTGTTGATTTATACATTTTTCAAAAAGTTATAGAAATATAAAGTTGTCATTATGAATTCTTCCTGTAGGTAGGTAAAAGGTCCATTTAAAAAAAAAAAATGATAGATAAAGACTTCATGCATCTATATAAAAAAAAAAAATTATATTGATTGGGTCATTTATGTTTAAGTTGTGACAGTTTTAAGTAAAATTTTTTTCGAAAATTAGCGATTTTTAANCATTTTGTGACATATTAAGTTAAATATTTTTTTGTTAAGATTAATAATTTAAATAAATTTTCAGTATTAAATAATATTAGCTACAATTTATCAATTTTTATTATGTATTTATTACTTGAATAATTTAAATATAGTTTAAGATTTAGTTACAAATAATAATTATAACGAATATTTCTAGTTCTATTTAAGTAGTTTTAATTATTTTTTTTTATTTTTAACCCATTGAATACAAAAAATATTTGCTAAATAATTTCTATACAAAAATAATAATTAATTCAAAATATACCTACATTTATAATAGTAGTGACTGCATTGCGAAACTCTGCTGCTTCTTTTAATGATCTTATTGGCCATGTGATAGATTTTATAAATTTTGGATTTAATATTGACAATAAAAAGTATAAAATTTGTTCCATAGCTTCTTTATTAGGCTTATTAAATATTTTCTAGATATTTATACATAAGTTTTAAAATTAAATTAAAGTACATTAATATAATAGAAGATATGTATGATGATGGCACTTGTACTAGGGTAAAAAGCGTAGGAGGAGTAACAGAAGGTTTTCGGGTAAGAGTAGGAACGCACCAAGATTCTGCTTTAAGCTCTTACTTATTCTCTATTGTAATGGATGCAATTACTAGAGAAATGTCATTATACATATCTTAATTCAACTTTAAAAAAAAAAAAAAAA